AGAGGCTTGACGCTCTGCCCGAGATCCTGGTCGCTGAAGATCACAGTGCGCTGGGCCAGGAATGTGTTGTCCTATTTGTTGTAGTGAATACGTGCAGGGGGAGGTGGCCACTGAGCTGCCATGCCACCACTATTTCCACAAGCCATGCGTGTCTATCTGGTGTCAGAAGTCAGGCACCTGCCCCGTGTGCCACTGCCTGTTTCCTCCCCTACTTTAAAGACCAAGGCTGTTGGGACCAGCAGTTAGCATAATGGCTATGTCGCTGGACTCCCATGTAGTCAACCGCGGTTCGCGTCCCGGACCTGGTGGCTTAAAACTCACGCCGGGCACGTGTGCGTGCGTGCCCAAGATCCCGGGAGGAGAATGGAGGAGAAGGGATTGCGGCATGGCCATCTCCTCTGGGGGGTGATTTCTTGCTTTCTGTTTCTCTGTCACTCTCTCTGCCTGTCTGGCGAGCGCACGTGCCCTATAGCAAACAAACAAACAAACAAAAAACAAAAAACAAAAACAAAAAAAGACCAAGGCTGTTTACACCTGGTCTGATGATTTTCCCCCTCTGAAATCCACAATACTGCAGGAGCCCTCTCAAAATTACCAATGGAAATCAAATCAGATCAATTAGTCAATTAGACTAAGCCTGTTGATTCCTTGTGATTATTTTCAGTGTGAAAACGGTTGTGTACGATTGTATTAAAAGTCATAATGTCTTTTAGCAGTTAGAAAGGAAAAACTAAGCTTTCTAAATGCTACTTGAGATTGCAGTAAAAGCATACATTTTCTAGCCTGGAAGTTCAAATAAATCATATTTGTTTTCTTCAGTAGAATATATTGCTGTTAATTGTAATGTCAAGTTTATCTGTTAAATATGTCCAAAAAGCAAAATCACTTTTGTTGCATGTTATGGGTTAATGTTCCTGTAATTGCAGTGCCGTAAAAGCTTATTAAAGTTCTTTTGGTTTTACATGGCATAACGGGATTGTTTGGATTTGTCTGAAATAATGGGACTAAATGATTTTATAAATTGATCTCCTACATTTGCTATTTTCAATAGCAAAAAAAAAAAAAAAAAAAAAGAGCTGTCCCATGTGGGAGGTGCCGTGCTGGGCATGATATGCACATCGACTCGTTCCGTGCTCCCGGCACCTTAGAAGGGCAGTTCGGGGACCAGGGCTCTGAAGGGCCCCAGCACTTGGGCCCCACCTGGGCACCGGGGAGGAGGGAGCTCACAGATGACGTCAGCACTGCCTGGTCACTTGCTCCTGCCCTGGCCTCCTCTTAGGCCCTCTGCCAGCCTCTCCGGAGAGCCCTGTCTCTAGGGGGTCACGGTAGCCCTGAGTGAGAGCTGACAGAGGCGTTAGAGTCCCTCAGTCTCCGTTTGGTCCCTTGCCCACTCTGCGGGCTCATTTCCGGCGTCAGCTTTATAAACGGGAGATGACGTGCCTTTCTGAACACCCCTGGTAGGCGGCCCGTTCTGCTGCACTTGCACACAGGCCGCCCGCTTGCCCTCGAGGTGGTCTGGGCCTCTGCTGGGCGGGCACTCGTCTCTCCCTTTCGCCCTGCCCCGTGTCTCTTCCCCCCGGCCTCCCCCGTAGGCCCGCGGCCTCGGAGCGCCGCGCTCACCTCGCCCCTTCCACCTGGCTTCTTCCTGTGCTCAGGACTCCTTGCTCCGGCTGAAGGACCATCACCAGTGTTTCGAGTGCTCCGAAGTGGCTCTGAACGAGGCCGTCCAGCAGATGGTGAACTCGAGCGAGGCTGCAGCCAAGGAGGAGTGGGTGGCCACGGTGACCCAGCTGCTGCTGGGCATCGAGCAGGCGCTGTCTGCTGACAGCAGTGGCACCATCCTGAAGGACTCGTCCTCCTCCACCGGCCTGGTCCGCCTCACCAACAACCTCATCCAGGTAACCCCAGTTCCTTCTCACCAGCTCTGTCCCAGCGGGTGTGTCCCTCTGATGTCCCTCTCTGTAGTCTTGGCTCTCATTGGGAATTAGACACCTCGAAAGCATTGCCTTAGCGTTTCTGTCTGGAATTCGGGATGTAGTCAGCGACTGCATAGCCGCAAGCCTGCCAGGGACCGGTCGGGTGCAGAGGTCGGAGACGAGGCAGCACTCGCTGTCGCCGGTTTCTCTCAGGCCACCCATCCTAGAGGGGAGGGAACAGGTTCCCCGGGAAGCCCCAGTCTCCTGCAGAGAACCCCACGGGGCCAGAGCCAAGCCTTCTGAATCCTTCTAGGGCTCTCCTCATCCCATGCTGTCTAGGTACTACCAAGCAAGGGGCAGTCACAGAATCCCACACTGTCCAGGCAGACTCGAGGCGTCACACTCTCCTCTGAGCCACCCTCGGCTCTCCCCACCAGCAAGTCCTGCCAGTGCCCTCCGCCTCTCCAGCCCTGGTTCCTCCCTTCCACCTTCACCGCTCGGCTGTGGCCCGGGCCTTGCTCCCTCTTGCCTGAACCGTGGCACTGTCTTTGCCCTGTGAGGTCATCCTAGGGGTGCAGGGGAGGGAGCCGGCCCCTCAGTGACACCTGGTGCCTTCCACCTCCCACCAGGTCATCGATTGCAGCATGGCTGTGCAGGAGGAGCCCAAGGAACCCCACGTCTCCTCGGTGCTGCCCTGGATCACCCTGCACCGCATCATCTGGCAGGAGGAGGACACCTTCCGCTCCCTCTGCCATCAGCAGCAGCTCCAGAACCCAGTGGAGGACGGTGAGTGGGCAGTGGTGGGGTGGACACTGACCCTTGCCCCTGACCTCTGCCCCAGGGGCCCAGGGCAATGCGTAGGCTTGGTACTCAGTGTGACAGGATTTTACAGGGCACTTGGACAGAGACGGGCTTCCTCCTTGCCTCTCTCAGAGAGCTCGCTGTGGAATGGGCACGGGAGGTGAGAGAGGTGAGGCCTGCAGCTCACACCTCCTGAAGCTGACAGCTAGAGCTGCTTCCTCAGGAGGACCAGGCTCTGCCTTCAAGGGGCATCCAGAAGAGAGATCGCTTGCAGCTCTAGCCAAGCTGTTTCCCACCTTCTGCAGACACAGGGAGAATTAAAATTGTAGCTAAGGAGGAAAGTTGGTCTGAAGCTGTGTGGGGAGTGCTCCTAGAGCGTTCATTCACGCTGTGCCAGAACACTTAGGTAGCCTGGAGGCACTGCCCAAGCTGGTCACGAACAGGCTGGGAAGAGACAGCGTGGGGACAGAAAGGGAAGAGGGAATGTCAAATGTGGAAAACGTGCAAGAAAACAAACACCAAGGAAAGGCCAAGTCTCTGTAAATAGTTAGCATAAGAAAATAATTTATTTTAAAAACTGAGCTGATGAACAGAATGAAATAAAAAGGAAAAAAACATTACAGACTATACCTTCCCGTTATAAACCCATCAGCCTAGACGGTAAGGAATAGATGGGTGTGGCCGAGCCCAGAGCAAGGAAGGGCGGAAGCTCTTGGAGAGAAGACGGATATGGAGGGCAGACGGGGCCCCGTGTAGGTAGCTGGTACCCCTGACGGAGACGGGAGCAGCAGCTCGCCTGCGGCAAGCAGGGCAGTTTCTCTGGATTATGATAGACACCAAGGAAAACTGAGGCCCAGCTTGTCGGCATCACTGGCAGCAAGCAGAACTGCAGTGCCGGAAGCACGTGGCTGGCCGCATGCAGTGCAGATCTGGGGTCAGCTCAAAAACGGGCCAGAGTCACGTGCTTCTGGCCCAGATCCTGAGGGGCTGGAGTGGGGGAAAGGGCTTCCCGGCATGACTGTGTGGCAGGGCGCCTCTCTGTCCCCTGCTCTGTCTGTCTCATGTGCACACACACTCTCCTTCTTGAGTAAAATAAACCAATGTATACACACACACACACACACACACACATATATACGTATATATGCACACACATTATAAATAACTGTCTATATCAAACACAGTGGTTAAGGATTTCCTTGAGAAATATGTAGGCTTCTAAACTAAACAATCAGTTCATCTTCCTTCATGGGACAGCGATCCCCTTTCAGATGGGGCAGCCCTGGCTGCATTTGGGATGCTGTCTGCTCAGTCCTCAAGGAGAAGGTGTGGCCTGAGACGTCTCGTCTAGCCAAGGTGTGTGTAGCTGTCCTGGGAACTGACTCCGTCAACAGGCGCTGCTTCTCCCAGGAGCACTTTTACAAAACGCTTTTAGGGGATGGAGTCAGTAAACCAGCATGAGTCAGAGTAGAAAAGCCATGCAAGGATTTGTGACGAACACGAAATCCATTTAAAATTGGAATTGAGAGAAAGCAACTGGGCTAATTGTGGCTGGAGAAGAGAATGGAAACGATATAGCCCTGACTCTCTCCAGATAATCTGCGCAGCGCACTTGAGAAGGGGGAGGGAGTGTCACAAAGCCGACCGCTGGGCTTGTGTCATAAACTCATTTGGGGCCCTTAAAAATGGAAATTAATTTCAAGATCCAATCTTCTTAACGATTTTCTGAACTTTTTTTCCTTTCTTTCTCTTCTCTCCCTCCCTCTCTCCTTCCCTCGTTCCCTCCTGCCTTCCTGCCTGCCTGCCTTCTTTTCTTTTCTTCCTTCCAACCAGTGCTTACACTTTTCGACTAGGGCTGACCCAGAGTAGAAAACATAAAATAAATGATTGAAAGAAACTTATTTGTGTTTTGCTAGCTGTGATGCATTCTAGTGTTTTCTACCCCATGCGCTGCCCTGATCCACCCTAAAACTGCCAGTCATAAGCAATTGATGGGCGGGTTGTGGCCGGGTTTCTTTAATGCCACCTAGTCATTGAACTGATCATAATTATTTATTTTTTAACTATTTCATTCAACTTTTTATTTATTTTAATTTGCCCAGAGAGGGACAGGAGGAGAGAGAGAGAGAAGGGGAAAGTGAGAAAGCAAGCCACCAGGTCCAGGACTTGAGCCACGGTTGGCCATGTGGGAGTCCAGCGCCCTTAACCACCACACCACCTGCCAGCCCCCAAGAACTGATAATAATTCTAGTGGTAAACAGACCTTCAACCAAAACTCAGTACTACTTTTCCTTCTATTTTGCCTTTCATTTTGTAATATTCGAAGAGATCTAAATATAAGACTTTTAAAGTTAAGAAATGGTACGTGTGTTGTGGGCTCCTTGCTTGTAAATCATCTCTCTCTCCCGGAAGTGCAGAGAGGGACGCCTCGAGTGACGCTCGCTGGATGTCAGCCCTGGTTCTCTGGGGCTGGCATTTCGTGGAGGGAGCGTTCCTCTCTGTGCTTTCCTGTATGGTTTGAATTGTTTTTGCTAAGCATGTGTTGTGTCAGTAAAGCCAGCGAAGTTGTTACTTAAAAAGACAGTAAGGTTTAAAAAATAAAATGGAGGTCACCTTGATACAGACAGAAAGGCCCCAGAAGAAGTGGTCCTGCCCCCCCAACCCCCATCCCCACGGGTCCACACCTTCCCACACCAACTCTGCATCTCTGGTCTGGACCCCTAGGGATGTCGGAGACGCCCATGCTCCCATCCTCCCTCATGCTGCTCAACACGGCCCACGAGTACCTGGGCAGGAGGTCCTGGTGCTGCAATTCCGACGGGGCTCTGCTGCGATTCTACGTAAGTGCCTCCTGCCGTGGGCTGCGGGCTGCCAGACCAGGACCGGGCGGGCGGTGGGCGCAGTGGTGGCACCCTTGGGCCTGCCGGGTCTTCTCCCCGCAGCTGGCCCCTGGGTGCTGCTTTGACTTGCTGTGCGTGTGACTCCTGAAACGGCAGAGTCTGAGCTTGCCTCCCTGTGCGGCCGGGGCTCAGGGAGCTCTGGGCCTGGCCTGGGACATCAGGTGGATCTGCATCCTTGGTCCTCACACGTCTCTTACCAGCCCAGCACCGGGCAAGGCCGTGTGAACGTGACGGTAGGAGTAACCGCATCCACCCTCGGCACCGCCTTCTGTGGCATCTCACCTGTCAGGCACACGCCGATGCCAGGCCGCGGTGCCCAGGCAGTCGTGGTCACGTTTACTCGGGAGACAGCAGATAGGCCTCCTTGCCCTTGCCAGCTGCAGCTGACCGGGAGTACCTCCCTGCCTTACTGCGGCTGAGCAGCATGAACCCTGTCTCTAACCCTCAGTGTTCACCGGGCGGCCCAGCAGCGGACAGATTGGTTACAGAGCACCAGATGCTGTAGACGTGCTGGGGAGGGACGTCCAGCCCAGGCTCTGTCAGCTCATCGGGTTTCTTAGCCCGGGCCCACTATGCTGCCTTTGAGTACAGTGGCAGTGCATGGGGGCTGCGGGGGAGTCCGTATGGCCCACAGACACGGATTCATTCATTAATGGGCCCTGAAAGAAAAAGTCTGCCACTCCCTGCCCTGCCCCTTCTCAGTGAGCGTACCCTCTCTACAACTGCAGACTTCCTTCCTGTTCTCCTAATCTTCTTCCTCTGCCCTGTGCTTTTTTTTTTTTTCTTTCTCTATAGGGCACGTGCGCTCACCAGACAGAGACATAGAGACAGAAAGTGAGAAATCACCCCCCAGCGGGGATGGCCATGCTGCAATCCCTTCTCCTCCATTCTCATCTTGGGATCTTGGGCATGCACGCACATGTGCCCGGCATGAGTTTTAAGACACCCGGTCCAGGACACGAACTGTGGTCGACTACGTGGGAGTCCAGCGACATAGCCATTACGCTAACTGCTGGTTCCCTGCCCTGTGCTTTCCCCATAGCTCTTTTTTTGTTGTTGTTCTTTTAAGAATTATTTTAATTAATTTAACTTTGTTTATTTTAATTTAACCAGAGAGAGACAGAGCAAGAGAAGGAAAGTGAGAAAGCAAATCTCTAAGTCCGGGACTCACACCCTGGTTGGCCATGTGGGAGTCCAGTGCCCTTAACTGCCACACCACGCCGACCGCTCCCCATAGCTCTTTCACCTTCTACATGCCTGTCGTTTTCTTTTTTGGTGTTTATTGCGCGTCTCTACTGAAATGTCCCTTTTGAGAGAGTAGAGGTTTGTGTTAGCTCACTGCTGGACCCGAGTCCCTGGGACAACACCTGGCATGTAGCAGGTGCGTAATCGTGTGGGGCAAGGAGGACTAAGCATGTGTATAAAGCACAGTGTATGTAAGGCTTGACAGCCTTCAGAGCCCTTCTACGAGGACATGGGAACTTGGCCGCGGGACCCATCTGGTCTAGGGCCCTGGACTTGCTTAGTGCCCAAGGTTCCAGATGCCTTGGTGACTGCCCCCGTGAGCTCCAACGGCCTCTGGGGTGCTCCCTCTGGCTCAGCTCTGCACTCAGGACCAGTTTTCAAGGAGTCGTGCAGGCCGAGTCTGTACTGCTGCCCAGGAACCGGCCTCTCCCTCCTCCTCCTGCCTTCCCCATGCCAATCAGAAAGTGTGGGGATAGTTTGTTTCCACAGGGTGACTCCACAGGCAGCCCCCTTACGCTGACCAGGAAGAATGCGTTAGCACCTTTGCAGGCTGGCACGGAGTGGGTGTGGAAGGGCAGGCAGAAGGGGTGCTGTGATAGCCCCGGTCCCAGGGTTTTAACCTCCGTCTGTTTCGGTAGAGCATGAATTCTAGCTGTCAGTCCTGCCAGGTGAGTCAGCGCATCGCTGTGACATGAGCACCGTTGTGTCTCATCGTATAGTTCCTAACTTTCCTACCCAAGACCCAGCCTTTGGGTTCCTCTGACTCCTGTGGCAACTCTCCAGATCCCCCCGTACCTTCTGCCCGCCATACTCTCCCTCGGGCCCTGCACGACTGGCTCAAAGAGGCCCTCAGCCCGCCACTGTCCGTCTTTACCCCCTGTTGGGTTGTTCCATTCTGACCCCATCCCCAACAGACGGCATCCCTGAGACCAGAAACTTCTGTCCAGTTTTCAGAAGCATCCCTAGGGCCAGCGTGACATAGATGACTGCCTGTTGATAGTTCTTTTTCTTTTCTTTTTGGAGAGGTTTTTGCGATAGGGTGCGTGTGCGCACCAGACAGACAGAGACAGAGAGACAGAAAGCGAGAAATCAGCCCCTAGGGAGGATGGCCACGCTGCAATCCCTTCTCCTCCATTCTCCTCTCGGGATCCTGGGCGTGCACGCACACGCTCCCGGTGTGAGTTTAAGCCACCGGGTCCAGAATGCGAACCACGGTCGACTACATGAGAGCCCAGTGACATAGTCATTACACTAGTTGCTGATCCCGTCCTGTAGGCTTTGATGTTTGGCATTGTTGTCTCTATGTAATTGATTCCTGATTTTCGTGGTTGTTGTGGCACATGCATGGAGTCTTCTTAGACAGGTGTCACTGTCACAGTCCTCTTCGCTCTGCAGCCTGAGTGTCTGGGCCTGAGGTCTAACTTTATTAGAGTCATATTCAGAGAATTGTTATCTAGTCTCCGGTGCTCACTGAGACTTGTTTTTTATCCAGTTTGGGTAAAATCTCACAGGTGCTTGAAAAGAGTGTGCGTTTGTTGACAGTGGGGCATAGTGATGGTGCCTGGTCTCGCTTCCAGGGTGCGACCGTGACTGTGTCGTTCACGTCCTCTGATACCCTGATGCCTTGCCTGAGGTTCTCCCAGCCCTACTGGGATTTATCAACTTATAAATGTCCATTATAAGTATTTCTTCAATTAATTCCATTCTCTTCATTGGAATCTGAGCTTCTTAAATGCAGAGGCCGGGGCCCAGCAGGTGGTATGGTGGGTAAGGCACTGGGTTCCTGCACAGGTGACTATGGTTCAAGTCCCGCACTTGGTGGCTTGCTTTCGCACTTTCCCTCTCTGTCCCTCTGTCGTTTTTACTCGCTTTCTGGTGAATGCATGTAACCTATAGAAAATTTTTTAAAAATGTAATAACGATAAATAAAATGAAATAATTCTTTAAACAGAAAAGCAGAGATTGTGTTGTTCTTTGCCTGTATAAGAAAGTGCTCAGTAAACACTCATCTAGCAAATGAATGGCCCAGTAAGTGAGTGAGACGCTGTGGCGGCAGGCGTCACCTTTCTTTAGTGCCCGGTGGAGTGCCGAGGGGTCCTGAGAGAAAGGCGGCTGCGTGCCAGCCCCTCGGGACGCGAGCGCTGGAGCTTGGCCCGGACTTCAGGGTTTATCAGGAAACGGGTCGTGTCTTTGTCAGGAAATGAGTCTTTCGGGCGTCAAGTCATGCAGAGACCCCCAGACCTGGCCTCCGCAGGTTAGAAGATGGTGTGACTGTCTCCCTGGGCCTGCCTGTCACAGGGAGGGCGGCTGCAGCCCTCTCATGGTCTCTTCCCGCTCGTGGCAGGTGCGGGTTCTACAGAAGGAGCTCGCCGCGTCTACCTCGGAAGACACACACCCCTACAAGGAGGAGCTGGAGACGGCCCTGGAGCAGTGCTTCTACTGCCTCTACAGCTTCCCCAGCAAGAAGAGCAAGGCTCGGTACCTGGAGGAGCACTCGGCCCAGCAGGTGAGGGTGCACACCTGGCCGGGAGGGCCGCTGGGGAGGCCGGGCTCTGAGCCCCTGTCCTGAAGGACGCTCAACTCCATGGTCCCAGCTGCAGTTGCTTCTGAGGAGCGGGCAGCCTGACGTCCCAGGTCAGAGGAAGA